GTGTGTGTGTGTGTGTGTGTGTGTGTGTGTGTGTGTGTGTGTGTGTGTGTGTGTGTGCGTATGCGTGTGCGTGCGTGTGTGTGTTCGTGCGTGTGCGTGTGCGTGTACATTTGTGTGCGTGTGCGTGTATGTGTGTGTATATATAAGCGTGAATATATGAGTGTGTATGTATGTATGTATAGTGGTTTGTACATGTGTCAGATTATATGAAGCCCAATAGCATATATACAAGAATAGAGAAGAATGGATCATATATATACAATAACAGATTGAGGGCTGCCCCGTATGAGGAAGTGGGGGTTTCCATTGGTACAGGTAAACACTGACGAGCCCTGCTCGTCACTATACAGACAGCGGAAACGGAAATAGATCTAAGCACTCGCGGTAGACTAGACCATGTGTCGATCATTTGTACCGAGCAGAACTGCGTGCAGTACAACAGTCGATCCAACCAGCGCAGTACCCACACGGCTAAAACAAGGTCGAATTGTTCAACTCAGCGTGCATATCAACACACTCAGAGCATCACACGCGTGCACACCTTAACCGAGGCGTGGGTGTAGCCCGAAATCTCTTCCTCGTCGCCAAACATCTGGTGTGTGAAGGTGGGGTGGAAGCCAGCACCCTCTGGAGTGTTGGCGACATCATCAATCGTCGACACTGCACGTACAATGAATGTTGCGGATAAGGTTAACGTTTATCTCCAGACAAGACGTGTTCAAGAGAACACGTCAGTGTATATAGACTACCAGCAGATGTTGATTAACGGGGTGCTTCCTTTCGCGTGTGATTAGGGCTCACTTGTGAAGACAATATCGTCCTAGCAGGTGCGTTCTGACCCACCATTTAGACTCGTTACTATATAAAACCATCCGACCAAGCAACCCCATCCAGATCAACCGTGTTCAACAATCTCCATGCGATAGTCGCAGTGCAACAGACATACAGTCGTATTGATACCCAAATGATATATCTACGAGCCGTGCATGTTCATTGGTTCACTGCACAGGGCTTGTGCCAGGGCACGGGCAGAGCATGTACATATCTACCAGTCACCCGTAGCATATGCAAATGGACGCTAAGTTGAACCACATGGGCTTCTGCAAGCACCATACAACTAGTCAATTCTGGACATCAGAGAAGCACAGGGCAGCAGTAGCTGGAAGTAAGTATTCATGATACGCAGGAGTGTGCTTAAAGCCCGCATCCTACACTAATTGAACAATTGCGAGCACGTCACTCTGGAGCCAAAATAAATAAATTGACCCTATACCCCTAAACCCTAAAACCCCCAATGCCTTGGACAACAGGCAACCCACAGAAACCAAAATCACGGCTGACAGATGGTAGATAGAGTGTGGTCTACAATGATCGACGACGACACAATGGTCATGCAGGACTACGAAGAGAAGGCATTAACACTGCCTGTGGACCATAACATGCATATCTAGGCCCGAAGCAGAGCCAGGCAAACATGATTATATAGTCAAACGTCCCAGCATCAGCAACAACGGGACGCACTACTTTACGTGTGAACAACTTATCGTTCATTTTATGCGGTCACTCGGTTATGGCCACACATGCCCCTCTACGCAAGAGAACGTAGTACACGTGGCTTTCTTGATGAGAGAACCCGGTGGAATATGTAACCCAATTGTAAGGTTTGTAGTGATACACATGACTCTGTAGTAGTCTCTGATCCCATGCCTATACCAATCAAAGTAACCAATCATGAAGGTACTACTATTGTGCGGGTGATGCGCATGTACAACCAACTTCGATTACATATTCCACACCCCTAGGCAGCAAAATCATACAAAGTACCTTCATGAGCTTTCTCAACGCATAGTCATTTATGCTTCTAACAGATGGGAAGTTCGCATAATAAGATGCACAATCCGGCTCCACTCGTGCGTGCGCACAGATGCACCAACCAACAGGTATATACTATTAAGCCTCTAGTGGCAGACAGCACATCGACCGACTTACCCGTAGGTACAATACTGGTACACACACACACCCCCCAACACACACAGTCCCATACCGGGGATGAAGCGTATGGCTTTCTTAGACTCCAGCGCATGGCTCCCGCCTGGGACCTTGATGCCCTCTACAAGGGGCAAAGGAACGGCTGAATTAGTACATATGTCACAAGACACAACCTTCTTTCGTTGTTGCTAACCGGAGCTGGAGTGTGCAGTAAGCCGACATCAGATACGTTGATAGTAAGATGACGCAAGACTTGCCATCGTCCATTGTTGACGTGTGGATGATGTGGATGAGGCATGTACCGCACGAGACATGATTGGGTGAAGATTTGTACAAGAAAGAAATACATTTACGAAGTACATTCTAGTAGGATACTATGGAACATCTGGCAAGGTTTTAGAAATAATTAGATACGTTAGGTAGGGGTCTAAGGTG